TTACTAAATATTTAATTTTCTCTACCCTATTATGAGCAGTATTATTTGTCCAGTTTGTTTCTGAGTGAGTTTACTCTTGGTGTACAGAAATGCTATCGATATTTGTGAGTTGATTTGTTATCTTGGCACACAATCTTGCTATGTTTAATTATTAATTCTAGGAGTCTTGTGTAAGTAAGTGTTTGAGTCTTCTATATAAAATCACATCTTTTTTTTTTTTTAATGTATTTAGTACAAGGTCTACAGGGTCTCACTACACAGATTGGACTTGTAGTGATCCTCCTGCTGTCAGCCTCCCAAGCGCTGGGATTACAGGCATGCGCCACACGCCCAGTCTCAATGGCATCTCAGGGCGCTCCTGGGGTGGGACCAGCGTGGCACACGGGTGATTGAACCTCAGTCCCTGCATCTGCCTAAGCAGGCACTTTAATCCATTGAGCCATCTGGTCAGCTCTGATCACATCATCTGTGAATATAGATAATCTGACTTTTTTCTTTCCTATACATATCACTTTTATTTATTCTCTTGCCTGATTGCTATAGCTAATGTTTCATGTACTATACTACATAGGAGTACTGCTAGGGGACATCGTTGGCATGTTCCCAGTTTTACTTTATTTATTGGGATAGTCTTACTATGTAGTTATAGTTGGCCTTGAGTTCATTATGGAGCCCAGGTTAGCTTCACACTAATGATGATACTCCTGCCTCAGCTTCCTGAATGCTGGCATTATAAACATGAGCCACCAACCTTAGAATTTTCTTGATTTTATAGGGAAAACTTTCAGCTTTTCCCAACTTAATATAATCCTGGAGATAAATTTGTCATGAATAGCTTTATCAGATTGAGATAAAATCTTTTGTGTGTATGTGTGTGTGTATGGTACCTGGGGTTGAACTCAGGACCCTGCGCTTGCTGGGCAGGCGCTTATTCTATTGAGCTATCTCTCTGGCACAAGATCAAGTCTTTACCTATTTTCTTTGGAAATTTTATCATGAATTTTTTTTTTTTTATTCTTGATTGGTTTTTGGTTTTTTTTCAAATTTTTTTTTCTGCATCTATTGGTATGATCATGTAAATTTTTCTCCTTGTTTCTGTTTCTGTGTTGCATTAGTTATTGATTTTTGTATATTGAACCATCCTTGCATCCATGGGGTGAATCCTACTTTGTCATAATGTATGATCTTCTGATGATTTTTTTTTTTTTTCATTCTATTGGCCAGTATCCTGAGAAAACTTTCAGCATTCACTCCAAACTCTCTTCACCTTTAAATTTTGTGGTGAAAAATCTGTTTTAATTCTAGTGGGCTTATCTTTATAAGTGATCTGTTGCTTTTCTCTGATAGCTTTTGACATTGAATCTTTTTGTTAGACATCTGGGATTTTGACTGTAATGTGTCTTGGGGAAGCTACTTTTAATCATACTGGATGCTGTTTTTTCTCATCATTAAAAGGAACATCAGACGTGGCATGGTGGCACATGCCTGTAATCCCAGAATCCTGGGAAGCTGAAGAAGGATTATAAGTTTGAGCCCAGGCTGCTCACCTTAGTGAAGCCCTGTCTCAAAATATTGTTTTAAATTTTTTTCTTATTCGGGAAGGGTCTACAGGGTGTTCAGGGTCTCACTACTAGATCAGACTCACAGTGATCTGCCTGTTTACAGCCTCCAAGAGCTGGGATTACAGGCAGGTACCACCACGCCCAGTCTCAATTGCTGTCTCAGCGTGCCCCTGGGGCAGGGCTGGCACTGCAGGCCCGGGGATCAAACTCTGGCCCCTGTGCCTGCTTGCAGGCGCTTTAATCCACTGAGCTATTTGGCTGGCCCTTTTTTAAAAAAATTAAAAAAGGGCTCATTGTGAAGACCCTGGGTTGAAGCCCAGTACTGGAAAAACAAAACAATAAAGATACCTTATTTGCAAAAGGGCATAAGTGTTCATGGAAAGCAATTAGCAGTGTGTCTGGCATATTAGAGGTGCCCACAGAGACAACGATGGCAATATGGAAATAATGGTGTGACTGTTATCACTGATGCAAGGTGCTGCATCGCCCGCCTACTTGAATCCATACCAACTCCATTCATTTTCACAACCATCCTTGCTGACTGTTCCCTCTACAGTCCCACAGGGACTAGGTGGCAGAAAATGCACACATAGGCCTCTGCATCCCTACCTGTGCTCCACCCCTGCTCTCTAGGCCTGTTTCCTCACTATTACGGCCCACTGCCGAGGGCCTCAGGCACCACAGCTCATGACCACTGCTACAAGCTCTTCCTTCTGCCAACAAGATCACAAACTTATTCCCTCAGCCAAGAAACTTAGAAACATAGAGGGACGTGGGCACCACCAAAATAACACATGGTACAGAACAGCACCTTGGACACCTGTGTACCCTTGTACAGGAATCCAGAGCTGTTCACTGTGTGGCTGGCTGTAGGCCAGGAATCCAGAGCTGGGCTTAATTAAGCTCAGTCCTGGCAAAACTTGCCTGTGAGCCTGATGTGGCCCAGAGGTCCCTATCCAGGTCTCAGCTTTCTCTTGTGTGTGAAGCTCTGAACTGGGCAAAGATTCTGCAACCAACTATACCCTCTGCTTTTGTATGACCCAGGAGCAAGAATGGCTTTTATATTTTCAGTGAGAAAAGAATTTGTGATGTATGAAAATGACATAGTTTATACAAAACGAAAATTTCAGAATCCATAATAGAATTTTATCAGGACAATACCAGAGGTAAGCAGAGTATGGCTTCCAAAGTGACCTTTCAGCCAGAACTGCCATCTTCCAGTAATTGGCCAAAATGACTAACACAAAGGGCAAGAGGAGGGGCACCTGGTACATGTTCTCCAGGCCTTTTAGAAAACATGGCGCTGTTCCTTTGGCCACATACATGTGAATCTACAAAAAGGGTGATATTGTAGACAACAAGGGAATGGGCACTGTGCAAAAAGGAATGCCTCACATGTTAACCAGGGCAAAACGGGAAGAGTCTATAACGTTATCCAATATGTTGTTGGCACTGTTGTAAACAAGCAAGTTAAGGGCAAGATACTTGCCAAGAGGATTAATGTACATATTGAGCATATTAAACACTCAAAAAGTCGTGATAGCTTCCTGACACATGTCAAGGAAAGTGATCAGAAAAAGAAGGAAGCCAAAGAAAGGTACCTGGGTTCAGCTGAAGCACCAGCCTGCCCCTCCCAGAGAACGCACTTTGTGAGGACCAATGGGAAGGAACCTGAGTTGTCAGAACCTATTCCCTATGAATTCATGGCATAACTGGGGATGTTGTTCTGCCTTTCAGCAACCAATTGGCAGCTTAAATGTTCTAGGTCCTATGTAAAAACAAATCATCCTGTTTTGTAAGAGTGATTTTCTTAGTTGAACAGGTATGCGGTGCCTTCTTACCTCAGAAATATTTGCAGCAGATTTTCACTGTACCTAGTAATTGTGCCTAGTCTTTACTCTTCAGTATTTTTCTTGCTGAAAGATATTGCTGAGGTATTGTGCAGGTGTATACCCAAATATTCAAATATTTATAAAATATTTATATTGTTTGAAGAGCCTATAAAATCATCATGGGGAAAGATGTATCAAAATAAATGGAAGTCACTTCAGAAACAAATATAAATCCATTTCAGTTAAATTGTTTAAAGTAACAAAAAAAGGTAAGATGCTACTACTAAAAGTATTGCTATGTTTATTAAGAATACACTGTTTACTGAAATTTACCAGCCCCTGAACAAGATCATTCTAAAGATATATTTTAACCACAGTAACACATCACATATGTGTTACTCTTATCCCCATAAAGTCCAGAATTGTGACCTGCGATAACCCAGGTCCCTGAGGGGCCCACAAAGTTCCTGAGCGTGGTCACCTGGGAGTGTCACATGAAGTCTGTCTAACCTTGATCCACATCCTTCTGGGAAACAGTGCAGCAAAATGGTCAAGATTCTCAGTGGGAGTTGCTAGGCTCACCAGGACAGCGACGAGAGCCCTGCAGGGCAGTGACAAAAGCATATCTGGCTGACTTTTGGACTCCATTTCCTAGATGGGCACTGGAGTTGTGGGGGAAGCCTCCAGCATCCCCAGGTGACTCAGCTTCCTGCCCACAGGCTTTTAGGTGCCCCCGGTACAGGGGATCGAACCCAGATCCTTGTGCTTGCCAGGTAGGTGCTTAGAATGCTGAGCTATCTCCCCAGCCCCCAAGCCCTTGCTTTTAAGGACTGGACTCAGCAGTGGAGAAGTACAATCCCAACAGGTACAGGCACTCCATTAGCAACTAACTTCAGCATAAACTATCTGGACTGCACTGATGAAAACTCTCAATCTGATTTTTCAGAGGTGCACTAAGTACAAGGATCATTGATCCTCATGCAGGTAAACACCTACCAGTATGTGGTGTAAACTCTGTATCGAACATCGGAACGCTATCGAGGTGGAGACTTCCTTTGGGCTTCCCCCATCCCACCCATGCACACTACGAAATGCACAGGCATGATACAACACACAGATGTAGAAGGTATTGGCTTAGTTTCTAGTGGCAGATTTTTCATTTCTACTCTTGGTGTGTTGGCGAACACCGTATTTCTGATGTTTGGCACAGGTTTTGCAAAGTGCTCAGTTTCAGTGAATTCTCCGAAGAGTCAAAGTACAAAGTGAAGTCCAGGGAAGGTCTGGGAAGCCCAGCTAGCCCAGTTCTGGCCAGCACAGCAGTTTGCAGATCAAAGGGCTGAGGCTAATGATCAGGGTATCAGGATACTATGCAATACGCCAGACTAACAGTCCTTATGTCCCAGTGGCCTCCACATGGGTACGGAGGGCAGAAGCACCAGGCTGTGCTGTCCTCCCCAAAATTTCAGTGCTTGAGATGTATCAGAGAGCAGCCTGAAGCAGGAAATATGCCACCTCCATTTGCCTAGGTCCCCTCCTCATAAAGCAGACCTGCTGCCCAGAGGCCCAGGGTGACAGGAAGGTAGTAGGGAGGTTAAATAAGTCATGCTTGAATGATAAGGTCATCTTCATTTATTTGGGATGAGGATGGAGAAGGGGACAACCACAAGGCCACAGACACAGCAGCAGCAGCAGGGTGCCAGACGCAGGGATCCACCACACGCTGACTCTGCCAGGATGCTTCTTGGGAAGAGGCAGCTGGCTTAGAGATGGCCTGGATCCTTTGTGCCAATCATAAAAATGTCATAACAGTTCCTTTCTTTCCAATCTGCCAGGGCTCCAACGGATAAAAGCGGATAACTATCCTTCAGGAAACAGAGAAAAGGGTGTCAGCTGCTTGGCAAGCTCCTCATCCTAGCAGACCTCATCATACACTCTCACCGTGGGCTTCCAGGCCAGCCCACAGCAGCCCCCAACGAGTCTGGCTGCCCCGCTCATCCCTATTAAACTCTTCCCTGGCTCAGACAAGACAGTAGTACTGCCAGATGCAGGTGGAGACACGAAGGCTGCAAACCGGAAATGGCTCGGCTGTATCCACATGTCTGAACAACCAAGCTAACTCCTTTTTCTGTACACAGTGCCCGGCTCCTATTAGCCTCATTTGGTTCCAAAGATCAGGGGCTGGAGGCATACCCAGACTACCCTTCAGCAGCCTGCAAACGTTTTCTTTGAAAATCAGACTCCCTGGCCTCAGGTTAGCAACACCCTCTTACCCTGCCACGTGGCAACACGCGTGCAGGCCACAGGCCATCCCAAAGACCACCGCACCCCACGCCCCCAACAGTGTCCCTGAGGACTAGTCTAAAGAGGTCCTTTCCAGTGCACAGACTTGGAAAGTGCTGAGGTCCAAGAAAACACACCTTGCCCAGGTGTCACTACGGGCCGCTGCTTAGCCAAGAGATGAACAGTCTTGGACCCACCAGAACACCAACCCATCAGCAGGGGCCTAAGGCGTGCACAGGCTGCTTGGAATGGACTCCACTGTATCCTTCCGGGGCAGGGCGAGGGTTTCTTTTCCCTAGACCTTACATGGGGCCCCGAGGCAGGGTCGCTTGCGGTTGCCACTGAAGGGTCCTTTCACTACCCCAACATACCGGTCCTGAGCCAAGGCCAGCTCCTTGGTAAGGAACTGGAAGAAGCCCGCGCTGTGTCCGCGGTTCTCCTCCGCAGTGCCCACCACACCGATGGAAGAGACGAGCAGCTGGGCGCAGGGCTCGGTGGATCCGCCCATCGCCATGGTCAAACCAGGCCGCACAGTCACGCTCACGCGCTGAGAAGGACACAAGAGTTTCAAAGCTGGGGCTGCAGCAAGTAGGCCTGGGGTCGCGCAGGGCCTGCGGCGCCAGGATCCTGTCAAGTCCCGTAGGGGTCCAGGGAAAGGAGCGCTGGCGGGGCAGGGCGGGGCAGGGAGAGGCAGGCCCGCAGATTCATGGGGGCGTGCGAGGGCACACTGGAGGGCGAAGTGGAGGTCCCTGAGAAGAGTCTGGTCACTGTGTGGCGAGGCGTGAACAGCGCCGGACCCCTGGTCCCCAAGCCTCCCCTCGCCCACTGCACCCCTGTCCTCGCTCACGTCTTCGGGCTTGCTCAGGACGGTGGCGGCGGCCGCGCACAGCCGCTTCTCCAGCCCGGCGGGCAGGCGGTTGGCGGGCAGGTTCGTCTCCAGCTCGATGAAAGGCATGTCGAGGGTAGGTGGAAGCAGCCTTGGCGCAGGAAAAACTCTCGGTCAAGTCAGTGTGACCAAGGATGGCGGAATGGGCTTGTGGGAGGGGCGCCACTGCGCAGCAACCAGGGTCTTCATTGGCTGGGCAAATCGGCACTCCCCTATTGGCCACCAGGGACACAGCCCTTCTCCGGGGACCCGGCGCTGATTTCCGGAAGTCCTATCTCTCAGCTGCTGGTTGTAACGCCTACCCCAACCCGATGTGGCAATCCCAAGGTTCTATTCATCTTGGGATCTGAGTTGTTTTTCCCTTTGCATCTCAGGCTCAGAGCCAGCTTCAATAATAGTTGGAACGCGTTGCCACCATTTCAAAGCCGGGCATCTTCAAGTTTCCTGTGAGAATTTGCGCTTCTCTGAAACAGTTTGGAGACCTGGTAACACGTGTGGGTGCTGGTTGGGGCCAGGCAAGTCCCTAGGGCTATGCTGTCACTACCTGGTCCCCAGGACACCTGCCCTTGTAGCCTGTTGTGTGGGTGGTGACTCTGTCCTCCATGGAGTGACCAGGTTATTCAGAACAAGATTATCTGTTCAGTTACACATAGAGAATTCGAAGTGTTCATATTAAAATGGCCCAAGGGGAAGGTGATTGAACCACTGTTAACATTACTCGTCCTATTAACAGTTTATTAGAAGACTCACAAAGGGGCTCAGACACAAGAAAGGCATGTTGTGACAGTCCTGGAGGTGGCAAGTTTGGGTCCTAGAGTTGAGCCTGGAGAAGCCAGGGGTGAGGGCTAGGCATGAACAGGGGAGAGCATCCTGCTCAGCAACACCTGGACAGCAAGAAATAAGCAGGGACTTCCCTTGCCACAAGATGGATCATGAACCAGCCCAGTACCCCACCTGTGGGAAACAGTGACACCACAGAAAGAGGCGAAAACCCCAGGGGGCTGAGCCCCTTCCTGAGCAAACAGCCCTTTACCTGACCATCTGTGATGAGTGCTCATCCCAGGGAGCATGGAGCCCACTCTCTGCCAGGACTGAGGGGAGGGAACATGGGTACTGAGGGCCCCAGAGGGTCATCTGGCCTTGCCTGGGGCTTGGGAAGGCAGGAAAGTCTCCCACAGACAGAGACATGGGGCAGAATGCCCAAAGATCATAAGCATGTGCTAAAGCATGCCCCCTAAACATGTGTTAAAGCTTTCTGCAAAGGTCCAGGAGAAGCCAAGTGTTAGAGGAAATACAAGGGAGGACACAAGGAATGGCATCGTGGTGTGTGGAGGGCACTGTGGCTCTTGGGCGTGGACGTGTCCAGCCCCAAGCACAAGGCAGCACGGTGTGCTTTAGGTCTTCCTGGTAGGATCTTCCCACCTCCACCATGTGGGTGATGAGTTGGAGGTGCTTCTCCCAGGGGACGTTGGAAAGTCAGTCAGTATCCTAAAGTGAGGGCTTATGGTGGTGCATTTTATAGACAAGGAGGCTGAGTTTCGGAGGTTAAAGTGACTCCTCCAGGGTCCCACAACCAGAAAGGACAGGATAAGTGGGGAAGCTGGCTCTTCCCAGGACTCCCTGCTATTCAGCAGGCCACGGCCCCCCACCACAACTCCCACAGGCATCGATTCTGTGATGGCTACCAGGCCAGCCACAGGGATTTTGGGACTAGTGAGGAAGTCCTGCTCTCAAGGGAACTTGTCCTTGAGCAGTCGCATGCAAAAGTGGATGACACTTTTGGTCAGAGTGGACGACAGTGTCTCCTGGGGCACTGGTTGACACAGCACAACAGGGAATGTCATCTAAAAGGCTGATGGGAAGAGATTGTGAGCCAGGCATGGTAGCACATGCCTGTATGTGCAGCACTCTGGTAGGCTGAGGCAGGAGGATTGAGAGTTCGAGTCCATTCTGCGCAACTTAACAACTTAATGAGACCCTACTTAAAATAAAAGTTAAAGAGAGGGGAAGCTAGATAAGGATGTAGTTCAATGTGAAGGTCCTTATTTCAACCTCCAGTATGAGGAGGAGGAAAAGAAGGACAGGAGAGGGGAGGGGAGAGGGAAGGGAAGAGGAGGGCAGGCGAGGAGAGGGGAGAAGAGGAGAGGAGAGACACTGACTGTGCCCAAAGCCCATCACTTATCCCTCCCTCATTCCATCATCAGTTCTTTGGCTTTCTCTCCCTGTCTGTCTCCTCGCATCTGGCTCTGAGACTCCCTCAAGACTGAGAGCTCCACACAGAGCCCTCCCAGTGCAGCAGCCATCCTATCCCCACTCTTCCACCTCTTAGCTGTACTCACTGTACCCCACCTCTCAGCCATACCCCAAATTGCTCAAGTGAGAGTTGCGTGAATCCACTGGGATATAGCTACAGCACGTGTTCCCAAACATTATGACCAACAGTCTCTGGCATTCCCAGGCTTTGGTGGTTTAAGGATCTAAGGTCTCAGGTCTGAACAGAATTCTTAAAGCAGAAAGCACCGTTCTTGGTGCTCTCTACAAGGTAATCCTGGAGATTACCTCTTCACTGGGGTGCCCAAGTCTGGCTCACTCCCACATACCTCACCCACCAGCCCAGGCCAGCTTGGAGAGGACCGTTGTGCCCAGTTAATTCATATGGAGTCTGAGGGCTTTGGTAGAGCCAAGGCTCAGCCTGACCAGAGGGCTGTGCACGGCCCCTGTGCTAAACGGACACCATCAGCCCTGCTAGTTCTTTCTGGAGAAACTGCCGGTGTCCAACCCCTGCCCTATAGCAAGTGACCCAAGCTGGGAGTGTCAGAGGAAGTGGGGTGGGGGTGGGGTCTGCTGAGCAGGGGGGCCTGCCCCGCCTCCTCCTCTGGATTCTGCTCCAGCTGTTTCACAGGCCAACCAGACCACAGTGCCACTGCTCAGGGAGGGTGCTGGCCTCCCCTGCTGCCCTGCCAGAGGCATCCAAAGACCTGTACTCATTTAGTTTAGTTGTTATAGATAGGCAGAGCAGCCTAAAGAGAGGGTCAGATGAAAGAGCTAATTCAAGAAGTTGGTTAATCAAGCAGCTGGTTAAACTTAGAAAAGTAAAAGAAAACGCAAGAACAAAGGATAAAGGCTAAGATGATAAGAACAGAGAGAGGAGGACTCTTCCTTGCAGAAAGACCAAGTCAGCTCCTCTCTGCCTCTAGGCTGGGCTTCAGCCTGTCCTGCAGAAACGTCAGAAAGGCAACGTAAGCACTTTCTTTTGAGCTCATGTCCTTTGAAACAAGCCCCATCCTGCGCTCTGCCTGTTCATACAAGAGCAGTCCAAGGAGCATAGTCTGGATTTCCGTGGAATTCCCTCATGATAGACATCTGTCCTGAGCTATTTCTTGTTTTTATTTCCAATGAAACTATGGACTTCTGGCTTTTAGGTCACAACTTCATTCTCCATCTTTGTAAAATCACAAGCTCAGCTCATACAGGATTTGCTGCTTCGGCTCTACTTCCCTCTGGACTCTCTGGGTCCTTTCCTGATGCCTTGGATTCACAGGCACAGATGAGGGGCCTTTAGACACACACAGCGGGTAACGAGCACCACAGGTTCCACACTGCAGAGGCTGGTGCATCCTACCTCTGGGCCTGACAGGAGGTGGCTCCAGGCAGGAAGGGAAAGGTCTGGGGAGTGAAGATCTTTCCTTTTCTTTTTTTTTTGTCCGTGGGATTGAACCCAAGACAAACAGGGGTCTCAGATCCACCTTCTTCCCTGTCTAAGCCCTCGTGCATAGGTTCCAGCCAGGCCTAGAATCCAGTTCTGCCTCCAGTCCCTGCATGGGAGGAGGAGAGGGTTGCCTAATTTCCAGCCATTTCCTGCTCCGCGCCGGCATAGCATGCTGGGTTGCCACAGCTGGGGCAAGTGATTGCTTGACACTGGTCGATTAGGCGACAGGCATCACTGGCCACAATGACCAGGACCTCTGAGGGCACTGTGTCGCTCGATCTTTGCCTAGCGGCCTCAGTGGCAAGAGGGACAAGGGAAAAACAATCTGGGAGTAGGGGAGAATAAACAATGGGGCTAGAGTTCACAGATCTTTTCTTTCTTTGTTTTTTGGAGGGGGTACCAGGGATCAAACTCGGGACCTTGCACTTGCCAGGCAGGCACTTATGCGGCAGAACTATGTCCCCGGATCTCATGGACCTTTTCAGATGTAAGGCAGAGGGCCAGGTTCAGGGAATCCAACCAGGTTCACAAGTTTAGAATCTCAGGCTCGAATGGAAGGAACCGATCAGATTCACAGAGGATAGGAGGAGGGAAAAACTGGAAAAAAAAAATGGACTGAAAAAAATAGCTAAAGAAATGGAGATTGGAGGAGAGCTCCCAGCAAACCTGGGTCTATGGTGTCCTGTCCCAACTCTATAAAACATAAGGAAACCCCTGTTAGTTTTGGGGAGGTCAATATTTTTATGCATAAATTGGAGCAGAAGAGACATAGAAAATAGTTTGGGACAGAGCATAGGAAAAGGAAGAAAAGCTCTTTGGTTTTCAAGAGCTCTGATCTGGATGAGGAAGGGACTCTGGAAGTTGCTTTTTCATGTGTTTGGAAGTCTGATCACAGGCTCCTCTTAACCATACCTAACCTGGTTTACCCTCAGGTTAAAGAGGAAGAAGGACAGATACCAGTAGGAGTGAGAAGGACCACCCAGAAGCCCAGCCTAGAACTAGTCCTTGGCTGCAGCTGGAGCCTCTCCCCACTTTGTCCCATTTCATAGCTTCTGGATGTGCTAGATCAAGTATAAGATCAGGGGAGCCAAAGAAGACCCCATCTGTTATGGTTTATACCTTAATGTCTTCCCAGAGCCTTATGCACTCCAAGGGAGGCTTTGAAGAGGTGGCTGGGTCATGGGTACATGACACTGGGATTAAGGATGTGTGTAACCAAATCCATTTAGCGTAGTTCTGGGTGTGGATAATGAGTAGGCTCACCTGGGGTGTGGGTGGCATCACCCAAGAAGTTTGTAGCCCAGAGAAAATATGAAAAGACAGAAAGAAGGCAGGCTCACTGCTGCTTCACTGCCTTCTGCCAGCCATACCATGAACTACTTCTGCTCTGTGATGTCCTACAAACTATAAGCTAAAAATAAACCTTCCTTCCTTTAACTTTGGGTGTTGGGTATTTTGCCTCA